CGCTGCCTCAATCCACATCTACTCAAAGAGATGCATTGAATCATTGTACATCTATGCGGGAGCGTGGAGATGCTGAATGACTGTGCTGCACTGAAATAGAAAGGCACCTCTAGTGGCTGAGTGACTGAGTCTCTGAAAAGGCAGTGTTTACATTGAAAAGCCTGCAGAGACAAACTTTAGATACCTGAACCACTTCAATAAGTTGTAGTTGTTTTGGTGACTATAATGTCTCTTTAAGACTGATCCATAGAATAATCATAAAATGCATACACAAATGCATACATTTTCTTAAAGGGAAACTATAGTCCCCAAAAGAATTTAGCTTAATGACGTAGTTTGTGTGTATAGATCATGCCCCTGCAGTCTCACAGCTCAATTGTCTTCTAGTTAGGAGGATTTTTTTTTTCTTAATGTAATCAGATGTTAAGGGAACACTGTAGTACAGTGGTCACAAACTTTTTAGGTTCAAGATGCCCTTACTGTTTGAATATTTTTCCAAGGCGACCCAAGTCAAAAAAATGTCTAGGTTGCATATATGTACAGCCCTGCGGCATATACTGGGCCCCTGTTAAGCAGAACTGTTTCCCTGTCTGGGGCGAGTCCAGAACCTAATCTCTGGTGGGGCACTGGTAGATTATTTATTTAAAGAAACAATCCAGGCACATTAACCACAAAACCACTCTGTGGTTATGGTGCCAGGAGTGCCGTGGCGCCCTCCCAAGGTAAGTAGTCAAACTGTTTAAGAACAGTTTGAGAACTTACCTGGGGTCTGCCAGAATAGAGGCTGTAGTGGTGGTAGGGGCAGTAGTGTGTGTGTGTGTGTGTACTGAGTGCATTTTGTTTGTGAAAGATGTAGTGTGTGTGTGTGTGTGTGTGGAGGGGCAGAATGTGTGTAATGGGGGCACTGTGTGTGTTTGGGGGGAGTTATTGTGGGTCTCTGGCGAAAGAAGGGGCGATTAATATAAACTTTTTATTTATTTTATTTTTTTATAAAAAAAAACAAAAAAAACTATTCTTTTCATATCCCCCCTCCCTTCTTACCTTTGCCTGGGAGGGGGGACAGTACAAGGCAATCTCTGGTGGTCCAAGGGCGAGTGTGAACTCTAGCAGCTCCTGAGGTTAGAGTTCACTCTCACGAAATTCAGAGCGTTGCCATGATAATCGCTGCAACGCTCTGAGCTTGCGAGAGGAGAACCCAGTGGAGCTTAGAGCTCCCCTGGGTCCTGTCTCCCTGCCCTGCCGGCTGCCAGCATTCAGTGCTAGTGGGCCGGTAAAGGAGATCTTTGATCTCCCCTCCAGTCCTGCAGAGCCAGCCGGGGAGAGTGAGGCATGGCACAATTATTTTCTCAGTGCCATGATCATATAATTATAGCACCGGGGAAACATTTTGTGACGCACCTATGTGTATGCCGCGGTACACAGTATAGTGTTAGGAATACAAGACTGTATTCATAACAACAAAGTGCTTTTATTACACTCATTTAACAGTGTCCCTCTACAATCCCCCTCCCCCGTGGCAATTTAATTTATGCGCCAAGTCCCTCAGCACTTGCTCTGCTCCCTTAGCTCCGAAGAGGAACCTAATATGCATGCGTGGCGAATGCCACATATGCATTAGGCCTTCCCTATAAGAAATGAATGTTTTCCTATCGTTGCACAGAGTTAAACTCCATGATACAGCAGTAAGCTCCTCTAGTGGCTGTCTGAGGGACAGCCACTAGAGGCAGTCTTAGCTCTGCAATATAAGCATTGCAGTGTTAGATTGCAGGGTTAAGGGGAAAGGGGCACTGCACCCAGACTACTTCAGTGAGATAAAGTGGTCTTTGTGGCTATAGTGTTCCTTTAATTTACTTTTAGATGTTTTTAAACTACTTCGCTGTAAATTAATTTTTGATCACATACAGGAGGCTGGTGTAAAGTCTCGCAAACTAAAAACAGTGCAGGAGATGCATTTTAAATTAAACAGAATTTGCAATAAAGGTAGTTTCAACATTAGATCTCACTTTACAGGAAGTGTTTAGGAAGGCTGTGCAGTTACTTGCATTGTGGTGTGACTAGGGCTGCATAAACTTTGTGGTCAAAGGTTAAGCGTACTGGCTCTATGAATGATCACTGTGCATATAGACAATGGCAAAATATATGCACAAAACAGACAAAACTGGCCAAGGCCCAATATTTCTATGAAAATCTGAACAGTAACATCTCAAACCCTAGAAACGTTTGGAAAGTCATAAATAAACTACAAACTCCCCCAATCCACTCCCAATCCTCCACTGTCAAAGTGGGTAACCAAACCCTGCAACTTCCCTTAGATGTAGCAAATGTCTTTAACAATTATTTTGTCGGATGCTCTACTGCCCTGATTGCCAAGCTAATAAATGACACGCATCCTGAAACTACAAATGTGGATCAGGTCACACTAAATTTGCAAAGGCCCAATATAGACAAGTTTATTTTTAGACCTGTACCTGTTAGTGTCATTAAAAAACATCTTAATAATCTAAAAATGGAAAAACCAGTCCAGACCTGATCAAATACCAGCAATGCTGTTAAAGCTCAGTGCGCCCGCAATTGCAAAACCCGTCGCAACCCTAATTAACAAATCCTTGTTGTCTGGATACATACCCAAACTTTGGAAGACTGCGAGAGTAGTGCCTATCCATAAAAGTGATGACACTACTTTGGTTTCTAACTATCGCCCAATATCATTGCTCCCGGTATTGTCAAAAATCTAAGAAAAATGTGTCCATACGCAACTTTGTGAGTACTACCAACAATTAAACTATCTGACCCCTAATCAATCGGGCTTTCGCCAGAATCACTCCACTACAACTGCCCTCCTAAAAGTTTGCAATGACATCCAAACTGGCATGGAACAAGGAGCCCTAACTGGAGCTATTTTCCTTGATTTTGCTAAGGCCTATGACACAGTAGACCACGACATTCTACTGCACAAACTCAAAAACTCAGGTATTGGTGATCATTCTCTAAACTGGTTTCGATCGTATGTATCGGATCGCTCGCAATATGTGTCCATTTCTGACAGTGACTCCCTCCCTCTCCCAGTCACGTGTGGTGTTCCCCAGGGTTCCATTGTCGGCCCCCTACTATTTACATTATTTATAAATGATCTGCCTAATGTCTGCCAATCCTCAAATGTACACATGTACGCAGATGACACGGTAATCTATGCGAGCAAATCCAATCTACCGCAACTTGAGGCTGTGCTCCAAGACCAGTTTACAGAGGTAGAAAAGTGGATTGCAAAAAACAAACTCTTCCTAAACACTGACAAAACTGTCACAATGATCTTTGGAACAGTACCTAAATTACACAATTCCCACCTATCCATCAAAACAATTTCAAATGGCAGTCCACTCTTTCAAATACTTGGGTATAATATTAGACCCCAATCTATCTTTTGGCCTGCACATAGAAAAACTTGCATCTAAACTTTATCCAAAATTAGGTGCCCTGTACAGAAACAAAGCCTGCCTAAGCCCTACAGTAAAGGAAAAGATTGTACAGCAAATGCTGATGCCAATCATTGATTATGGGGATGTAGTATATGCATCTGCATCGCAATCCCACATGAATAAACTCAACACATTGTATAACTCGTTCTGCCGATTTGTGCTACAATGTAATTACAGGATCCATCATTGTGACATGCTAAAAGAACTAAACTGGCTGTCGCTGGAATCCAGACGCACCCTTCATCTTTCCAGCCTTGTTTTTAAGAGCTTTTCTGGGAAACTCCCACCCTACCTGAACAAAATGCTTTCCCCAGCTGTTCCCACTTTCTATAAGCTCCGATCCAGTACAAGCACTTTACTTAGTCTACCTCAATACAAAAAGAAAGCGGCCCAATCCTCCTTCTCCTATAGAGCACCGCAATTGTGGAACGACCTCCCGCACAATTTAAAATCTTCCCTAAGCCTAAAGTCATTTAAGAGATCCCTCTCTACATACTTCAAAACAGAATGCGCCTGTCATGGTTGATTATATATTTCCTGCTTGTTCTATGTTAAATTTTGTATATATTGTGTATTAATATTGTTTTTGTATTTTGTTGTACCCTAATGTAACAATGCAATGATTTGTGGACCCAGGACATACTTGAAAACGAGAGAAATCTCAATGTATCTTTACTGGTAAAATATTTTATAAATAAACTAGAAAAGCTACAATTTCTGGGGAAATTGTGTGAAGTGTTCTTGCCTCCACCAGTAGTCTACAACTGGAGTGGGCGGAGTAACTGTAAACCATACATTTATAAAAACATTAGCAGGTGTTCAAAAGGCCCTGTCTATGACATCACTTGCTGCTGCAGCCTGGCACAGGTCAGAGTATTTTGGCGGTTGCCATCTTCAAACGGTCGTATTTTAAAAACTAAATAAAATTATAAATCCTACAGTGAAGAGCTTTATGTTGTGAGAATCACAAGACCCAGACCTACATTTTGATGCATAGTATGTCTCTGAAGTATTAAAAATGAAGGCACAGTCGCAGTTTAGAAATTGCACTTCAAATTTGAGCTTTGCAGAGTGAAGTTTCAATGAAAGTCAATGGACGGCGTTAGTTGCAAACAAATGATTATATTGTGAAAACTATCAGGACTATGGCTTAGCCGTTGACATGTTTAGTGGCAGCAGGGATAGCTGAACGTTTTGATATAAGATTTGTGTAGGTGGGCCTGAAAATAAGGGAGTGGTGGCAGTTTAGAAATCATGTCCTGATTTTTCAGCTTTTGCCAGCTCCCACTCTAGCTTTGCCATTCATTCCTATGGGACAAATTTCGCCACAAGAACGACGATATTCCGTGAACCATTCGGCGAAACGTTCCACAAAGTAATAGCAATCCGATCGGGAACAATCTGCACGTTTTGGTAAATTTTTGTCTATGTAGTGTAAAAACTGTGGGAGGAGTTAGGGTGGCAAATTTGGCTATAATAAGAATAATAATATATGTGAGATAACAATAAGTGGTCTTGCTATGCAAGAACACTTAATAATATATATGTGAGATAACATTAAGTGGTCTTGCATAGCAAGACCACTTAATGTTATCTCACATATATATTATTAAGTGTTCTTGCATAGCAAGACCACTTATTGTTATCTCACATATATATTATTCTTATTAAGTGTTCTTGCATAGCAAGACCACTTAATGTTATCTCACATATATATTATTAAGTGGTCTTGCTATGCAAGAACACTTAATAAGAATAATATATATGTGAGATAACAATAAGTGGTCTTGCTATGCAAGAACACTTAATAATATATATGTGAGATAACATTAAGTGGTCTTGCTATGCAAGAACACTTAATAATAAACAAAGTAATTGAACTACTAAACGGCAGAAAATTGAGCATGATCATCTATCTAAAACTGATTCATTAAGGTAAAGTTGTTTTGGTGATTATAGTGTCCCGTCAAGTCCTTAAAGTGACTTAAAGTATCATTGATAAAAAAAATAAATCAAGAGACATTTCGATGGGTTCCCTGTGATCACTTCTTTTTTAGAGCGCTGCTTTACTTTTCTGTTATTTCTAATTTTTTTCATAATTTCTCACAAATTATTTATTGTGGTTGCTAATTTATCTATAACTCAATATTATTTAATTTTATTCCCCCTTCCACAGATTTCTGTTCAAGAATTAGATCGGAATCTTATTATAAAGGTCAATAAAGATGCAGTCATGAGAATTGCAGTGTCTGGAGACCTTTTTACAATGGATAAAGGATTATACCAGCTGAACTTAACAGTGGGAGGTATTCCATTTAAAAGCAGCGAGTTAGTCCAACCAGTAAGTGTATTTAGGAGGAGTGTATATAATTACTGGTGATATGTTTGCTCTACAAATTTGTATGACTTCTTAATGTAATACTTTGAAATAGTGTGATCTGTTTACTCCTAAAGGTAAGCTGGCACAAGGGATCTCCTAGCATCATAACGTCATTCCAGTGAAGTTGTTATGGTGCCCAGAGTGTTCATTAAATTTTTTTGATAGCTGCACTATCTGCTATGTCAATATATGATTCTTATGTATTTTGAAAGTTTTCATAAAATATGTGAATTTATTATTTTTAATGTTAGAGTATTCCGTTAGTGGGAAGCTGCAACTTATCTGGAATTTATATCACTGAACAATGAAAACCATCTACGCGTGCTGACTTTTTACATTTTAAAAACCTAGGTGCAATAGCGTACAGAGAATGGACTAGTAGCTTGCCCTTTGGTCAGTCTCTGTTCAGATCTCAAGCTGGTTGTAGCTCATCTTGTGCCATTACAAAGAGAACATATGCCATTTGCCTTTTAGACACATCCCACCCAAAAGTGCAGTCCCAAGGTTTAAAGGATAAGCCAGATGAGGAACTCTTGCTCACGCTGCCTAAAGGGGTATTGGCTATACCTCACTAACAAGGCTTTAAGAAGGCCGAAATAAACATTGGAGGTTGCTGTAAATCTCGTGTTGGGAGAGCAGATCTGCATTTTGGGTGGGATCAGTCTAATGTGCAAATGGTGTACATGGTCTAGACTTTTGTAATGGTTCATTTTCCATATTCTCTTGCACCTTGCTTTTTTCTCTCCCTCTTCTTTTACATTTTTACTAAAGATGTAGCAAATTACCTTGTAATAAAGTTCGGACAATGCAAAGCCGGAGCAAACATTGCAAATAAAGAGCGGGAAATACCGGTATGTAGTGGTTCTGGTGTGTGTAGTATGTCCCTGCAGGTGTCTTAATGTAAAGGCTGCATTTTCAGAGTAAAGGCAGAGTTTACATCACTGCCTGGGGACACCTCGAGTGGCAGTCACTCAGATGGCCACTAGAGGTGGTTCCTGGGTCAGTACTGATATTCAGCGTCTCCACGTTCAGGCATTTTTCCTCTAATGTGTAATAGCCTCCCAATGGATTGGATGAGATCGACAATTTTGATGATCTCAGCCAAGGAGGTGGAGAGTGAGCAGAGCCAGTTCCAGCAAGTGCTGTCTGGAATAAAGGTAAGTTTTATACCTTTTTAACTGGGGCGGCTACCTAAAATGTTTTTTTGGTTTGTTTTTTTTAAAACAATATAGTGTCAGTAATAAATGTTTAATGTTCCTTTAAGTTTATTTATAAATGGGAACAAGAATGTATGCATGTATCTGTATTGAGAATCTGTTCTATTTTAGGCATACATTTTTTTAATGTGTAATTAACTGTAACTATAGTTTCTTGGACTCTTATTTCAAAATAAATTATTTATATCCATCGGATGAAAAGATCTATTAAAGGAGCACTGTAGGCACTATAACCACTTCATCTTATTGAAGTAGTTACAGTGCTTTCAGTCATACCCATTCTGTTCTAGACCCCCCAAACCATTTATTTTTAATAATTAAAAGGCTTAAAAACGGCTTCAAGCTACGCCTCCAAGACCTTTGCGGCTACAGTATGAGAGCCGGGAAGTAACATACTGAGAGGTCATGCATGCATGTGTAGTGCTTTCATGGTTTGCCATAGAGAATGTTTGTGTTCAATGATTCTCTATGACAGAATCATAGACGCATTGCGGCAAGTGCCGAGCATGCACCTATGGTCCCCAGTGCTCCTCTGAGGAGCATTGGATTGAACCGTCATCTTGGAACATACCTCCAGAATAACATCAGATGAGGAGGCCACACCAAAGTAAACTCTGCTTTGGAGAAAAGGTGAATATTTTTTTCTCTTTTTAAAACTCTGGGGGACTTTGAACTAATTAGGCACTGTAGATATACAGTGTACCTTTAAGTGTTTGAATTGTTTATGAAATAATGTGAATAGATGTTAGGATCTTGTTCAAACAAGCATACAATGGCTCTTATGTTATATGTTTAAAAAAAAAAAAGCTCATGATCGTACCCAACTAATGTGAATGGTGCTGAAATGACATGCTAGTCTGTGATACGAAGGGCAGTGTATGAGTGAAATGTCATCTATACCTTTTTCTCTGGACTTAGATAAACCCTCGCCTTGATGGATGTATGCGGAGCTGGAACTGGCTGAATGGAGAAGACACGTCTATAGAGGAGGCTGTGAGGATGAGCGAGAAGATGCACTGCTATGCGGTTGCTGCAAGAGGCTCCTTCTACCCTGGCAAAGGATATGCTCTATTTAACATTGATTATAGTAAGTGAGAATCCCACTGAACATTCAGTCCTATTCTATTCACTGAACTTTACTGTATCATTTATAAGTATTCTAATAAAGTGTCAATATATGCTGTTCTGTATATAAAAAATAAATACATTTAGTGTAATGGAAGCTCCCGTGCCACTGGCTCTTGGAAAGGCTTGGAGGCCAGCCTCCCCTCCCACAGACTATGTGCCCGGCCCAGAATTTATGGGGGCTGCCTATTCTGCCTTATAGCTGCTCAGGAGCCACCATTTTGGACATTTTCAATGTGTGACTCTGTGCATTTAAAAAAATTTTTTATTTGAAAGTTGATTATATTATAACATTTCAGACTCTTTAAAGAGACTTGTAATGCAGGAATTGACCCTGGTTTGTTTGTTTTTTCAATGCATGTAAATTTAATAAAAATAAAAAAATACACTTTCCATCAAAGTTCCTAAAACTAGTTTATGGAATAGTTCAGTGTAATTAATTACATGATTAATGGTACTGCTTTATTAGCAGGATGTCGGTTATACTGACATTCTGTTGTGTGATTTAGGAAAAACACACATCTCTAGAGCGTTTGACTTAGAATAGGTGTAGCATGCAAACACCACGCTCATGTTGGACAGAATTTGGAAGGCAAAACAAGAAGTAAAGTTACTCCTTTTAACAAAACATATATAAAACATTGAACACATTAAGAAGCTGTGTGTTTTCTTTTCAGAAAAAAAATCTTTCAGCCTGTTTGTGCCCCCTCTGCATGTCACATGACAAGAATGTGATTAATCTGACCTGTATGAAATAAGAATGGTGCAAAGTTTGACTTCATTAAAGCGTTCATTGTTGTCCGGATGTTTTAAGTAAAAGTGATAATGTTCTTATTGCTTTGTGTACAAACTTTATATTCAATAGAACAGTTGGAACAATACCTCAAACACATTACATTTTATACGTAGCCCGTGAGGTTTGAGTAATATGACTGCTATATCTTAGGTGAAACATTATAGGATGAAACGATTTCATAGGACACCATCCTGTCCACTGTATGTTCTTATGGATATTTGTTTTTCTTCTGTTGCTTTTATTTAAAGGTGAGGATGCCGAGACAGACTGGAGAATAGATGTTAGTGCTGAAATAAATCCAGCCACTGATACAGGAGTGATATTTGCTCTCGTTTCAGAGGACAAGACCGTCCCCTTATCACTAGCTCTGATCGACTACCATTCTACAACAAAAGTAAAACGGCAGGTAAAGAATATGTGCAAAACATTGGGGTAGCCAGTATTTAAACCCCAGTCAGGGTTTACCTTGGTTACCATTTCTGTATGATTGTGCTTGAATATTGAATGTCTGTGGAAGTTTGTTTGAAACCTTTTTTCTCAATTCGTACACTCCACCCAACATTTACATCTGCTGGCCAGGCTATTCTAATTGGTGGCCCCTGAGCTGCATAAGAACTTCTCTAGTATCACAGCAAAGGTGAGTTTGGATATTACCATAAATATGTTTAGAGCAGCTCTGTAAACCCCTTCATAAAAATAAAATCTGTGTTAGAATCTCAAAGAAATTCCAACGCAGTCAAAATATATACCAAGACAATGTAGAAACTACTTTGGCTTATGTATATTTCCTTTGACTATCGAAACTTGATAAAAGGAGGAGCTATCGCTGTCCGGTTTTGCCATTTCCCCGAGCCATCACTAGTAACGGCTGTAGGGATAAAGGCATTGTCCATGGAGGCTGCTGTTGTCTCTCAGGATGTTCCATAGAGCTCAGTGTTCAAGAGTACAACACTGCCATGGGTTTCAGGTAGATGAAGTTTCAGGAACTGAAAGGGAACTGACCAGATGAGGATGGCAGTGAGTGCAAAGGACCGGTTCAGGTAAGTAAAAATGCACCCAGTGGCCACCACACTGCAAGTGTAACCGTCACCAGCAG